TGTAGTACTGTTGTAGAGTAACATTTTATTGCTTTTTAGGATAGAAATGTCTTCCTAATGCGTTAATTGAATATGTGGTCATTGAAAGACACATTTATAAATACTACTAGCGGACCCAACAGACATTGTCCTGCATATCCACTTGAATGTACCTATAAACAAAAATTCATTCAAATTACTTCAGCTGTTTAGGATAAATAACCTAAAAGTCGACTGCAGCGCCATCTGCCGGGCTGATTTGTGAATCTAAACCATTCCCAGATCCCCTTGAACACACACAAAAAATTTCATCAAAATCCGTCCAGTCGTTCGAGGGAAGTTCAGTGACATACACACTCGCAGAAGAATTATATATATAAAGATATTTACGTATATTTTGAACTTATTAATGGAATAGAACCTCATTACAATCTTAATGCTTTGTTTTTCAGCTACGCTGATGACGCCTCTTTTAACAAAAGAAAAAGTAAATATTGGCACAACATTGTATAAAAAATAATAAAATTATGAAAGCAAAGAAAAAGTCCCGTAAAAACTTTTAATATTTTGACTCCCAGCCAATCTAATATCGCTCCACGGACCTCCAAACTTCGTCACGCCACTGCCAAATTAATTTAATAATACAAAAAACCGCTTTGTAATCTAATCTTATACCGAGGAGCTTAAAAAGTTTTAAATATTAGGTAATTGGGTATGATGAAATCCACAGAGCTATACTAGAATTAATATTGTACTGTATTACAAACCTAAGTGTGGGAGAGCCATGCTTCGGCACGAATAGGCTGGCTCGACCGGAGTGATACCACGGCCTCACAGAAAACCGACGTGAAGCAACGCTTGCGTTGTGTTTCGTCGTGTGAGTGAGGTTACCGGAGGCCCAAATACTATCTCCTTTCCCAATCTCCCCAATCCCTGAATCCCCAACGATCCTCAAACTCTTATTCCCTTCCACTTGTAACGCCTCTGGTGTTCCAGGTGTCCATTGCTTACCATCGACGACGATTGCTTACCATCAGGTGATCCGTCTGCTCGTTTACCGGCTTATGCCATAAAAAAAACACATTATAAACGAGAAATATCCACCATTAAGAAAATGGCTTTCAACCAAAAAAGGTGTCCCCAAATTGACACTTAAGTAAATTCTAGTAAATTGTTCGCGTAGTGCTTAACCGGAATCATCTTTTAAAATTCTTAAGGAGCACTGACGAGGGTCAATGAGATGGATCGCAGGATTTTAAAAAGACAAACGACTCCGACATTAATCACCAAGTGGACAGCCAAAGTAACGCAAGGGACGTTTAATAAATGACTTAATTTTACTCCCTTAACTTTTTCCACAAAAGCAATCATTGCCTTTTTATTGGAACCATTCAACTTACAATTTGAAATACAGACAGAACCATTCTCCCGAATAAAAAAGGGTACAGTCGCGGTCAACTGGAAAAAGGACTGATAGGAATTCACTTAAAATAAATATTCTGATTTAACCATGTCAGATTCGTTTTGGAACAATAATGTTATTTTTTCGGTACATTCTTGTTTATTCTGCGTGGAAAAAATACGTAAATCACGTCACAATTTTTTTTTGACTTTCAGAAGTGGAAATTTCTATTACTGCCTCGTTCGCCGAGTGGTTTCGTTTCCCGGCTCGGGCAAAGCATTACTGGGTATTATCAAAACATCTTAGTAGCAGCACGGAGTCTAGAATAGTGCCCGTTGTATGGCAATAGGCTCACCTCCTGTTACATGGGACTCATAACATAAATATTGAAAAGTGGGTGTTACATTGTACAGTGCCATTAAGTATCGTAATGTACACCTCTGCCTACGCCTTCGGGGATAAAAGGCGTGATGTTATGTTATGTTTCGTCTACAACTGTTTAATTTTTTTAACCACGATTATCATTTGTTACAGGTCCACGATGCTCAGTCTCCTCAGCATCACACTCCTGACCATTGCAGCCGAACAAATATACGCACAAGATACCACAAAGGAGCATCAGGGACTTCAACCATGTGGTGGACACTTGAAGGGTCCCGTGGGCACGATCACTACTCCAAACTTCCCTAACCCGTTCCCTGTCCCGATAAAGTGCAAATGGATAATAGAGCATGACATAGTGAACGGGACCATCTCGGTATACTTCACGCAGCAGTACACCACCACCGGGCTCACCTTCACCGAGTACTTGTACTACGATGAGTCGTACAAGCTTGGGGAGCGGAGGGCACTCACCCTTACCGACGAGAATATTACAAAAATCAAATGGCTTCAGGTAAGCTTCTATTCAGTGAAAAAACATTTTATTAGGATTTCTCAGTTCCCAGAATTCTTGTCACTATATAAAACATTTCTTGTTTCCTATTACTTATAATTATATTTTTAGTCCCACGTAATTTTTGTAAATAGTAATTCATTTTATAAATACGTTAAATAACA